GCTCGGACATTTTGTTTCAAAAGGTACACCATGGTAGACCTCTCGGATTTGGCTCGGTTTAACATAGAATTATGCCCCCAGGTGTCCTTTTTCTAACGGTGAAAACCGCAGTCTCTATATTGTTCCTATCAGAAGTTATTCAAAAAACGGTAGTGTGCGTTCTATTTTGAAAGGGATAGTAGTTATATTAATAAGCCAGTTCTTCATAATAATTAACTAAAAATTCTTTCTCAAAAAAAAATTAATATTCAATCGTCGCGAGCTGCTTAGCTGTAAAGATCAATGCAAATCGGTGCATTAATTGGTTTCCATTGTTTACCATCTAAAGAACCGATAAAGCAAAGCGAAAGCGATGCCCTTTTCCATTTTTATTTCCAGTAAACACATTGCTTCGCAAATCTATCTAGGAGTAAAATGAAGAGTTTACTGCGATTACTTCCGTCTGATTCTAAATCTATTTTCAGCTTGAGTTCCTGAAATAGAAAGGGGATAACTGAGCTTTTCACACGCACAGAGTGTTTATGATCATTTTAGAAAGGTGCCAGTTTTTACTCACATCCAAAAATTTTTCCCACTGAGCTTCGACTTTAATTGTAGAATATTATACTCTTTTCATTTAGCTGCGCTGCTTTAGTCATGAACTGCTGTCCTTTTTAACATCAAGCACGTAATGAACAACTTTGCACAACGTCTTTGTTTTTTCTTCTTTGCTTGTATGCTCTTTTATCTGTTTTGTAGAGCTAATTCACATATTCAAGAGAATTTTCCGAAAAATATGTGATAGGCTGAAAATTTGAATTTTTCAAAATTGTATAGAAGAAAAGGAAAATGTACCTATCACGTTTCTATGCGAAGAAAAGAAGAAAAGATATTCAAATTGTTAGCCTATCACACATTTTTCACAAAACTTCATTGAATTTAGCTATACGAAAGAGGCCAAAACATGCGAACAAACAAAAAAAAACTCGTTAAATTCTATTTACGGCTGTCTTAACGTACTCAACTGATCCTTCTTTCCCTAGTTTAACGTCATTGCAGACGAAAAGCTTATAAAAACCTTTATTTGTGTACAAACAAGAAGACGTTTTTGGCAGAGCAGTCAAAGATAATGCTTTGAAAAACTGAAAAAAGTTCGGAAAATCATTTTCTTGTCCCACAGGACAACTTAGTAGAAACCATTTATTCAAAATTCGATGTTCTTTCAAATGAGACATTGGTCGAAGTTGCCGAATTAAAAAAGGCTTCAAAAATTCAAAATTATTACAGATGGCGCTATTTCTCGAAAAATCAAATCACTTAGTTTTGAAAAAATTTTTCTCGGATTCCAAGCCGAAAATTTTTTTATAACCACAGTTCGGTGTATAGAATCGAACGGAAACCTTTGGAGAAAAAATTTTTTCGACCATGTTATGTCTTTCTCGGTCCAGCTGCGAAGTCTCTCTTAAAGAGTATTTTTTCTCTTGTTGTCTTACCTAGTATGTATGCCCCGTTCAGTTTTACTTCGTTCTCCTACTCCATTTGACAGCACAAAAATAGCTGTGTTTTCTTATCTAACCTTGTGTCAAATGTGCAGAACAGAACAAAAATACGCAATTATCAAGCTACCTTCACAGAAAAGGAAAAAACGAGTGCATCTCGGTAGAAATGTGATTCTTTTATATTGCGTGTGATCACTTCGAATGATGATGGCGGTCGCACTCCCAACAGTAACCAACGAGGTGCTTAAAATAACATCCCAAGCAATGGTCGATGTTATTTACGATACGTTGGCGACTATGCATGATTTATTGACTGGCGCTAATATAAACTACACAATCTTCGGTGGAACGATGCTCGGCTCGAAACGCCACGGCGGTCTTATCCCATGGGATGATGATGCCGACATAGCCATTGAGGTAAAAGACGAACAGAAGCTCCTAGCATTAACGGAAGCATTTGCAAATTGAGGTTTTGTCCTTAGTCCCGAGCCCCTCTTCGGTTATCGCATATGGCATCGTGAACGGACGCTTTTACAATCGCGCTACCAGCTGCAGGTACCTTTCGTCGATCTTTTCTTGATTGATGATGATTCGCATCGGTACCAGTACACCACAGAACAAGTGAAAGAGATGTTTCCCGCTGAGCCGCTGCCTTACGGATGCTTTCAACGTCTGGTAAACGTGCCGTTTGGCCATCTGACACTGCGCGGGTTGAATGATGACGACGTCCGACGATATCTCGACGAAAACTACGGCAGCGACTGGTGTCAGATCGCCTGGCGTGACTACGACCATGTCACTGGTGACATTCTGCCTGAAATACGGGTCGCCCTCGACCAACCTCATCTCTTGCGTCCTGCCCTTCACTCTCAACACACTAAGTTATCCTAAAAGTGCTACTCGGCGTACAAACTATATCAAATTCAATTCTCTATCGATCTAAGATGAAAAAAGTTTTTAAAGAGCGAAAGTTTGAACAAGGTAATTCATCCTATCTTTGAAAGACAAACTAAGACAGACAGACAGAGAGAGAGGTTTCATTCTTAGCTGTAAAATGAAGACTGTAACTCATCGTTTTTCACACAAATACATTTTGCAACAATGTGTCATCTAACCTCCTAAATTATATATATATTTTTTATTTCCTTAATATCCTGATTATTTCATTTATTGTTTATCATATCTATTTCTCACATTACAGCATACACATTAGTATTTTTGTAAGAATAATCTTATCTAAGTACTTATTAAATATGTAAAAAACTGAATGCTTTTGACACGAGTTGAGCAATAACTCAAGTAGAATACAAGAATTAGTTTATTTTATGCGCGTCTCAACTATACTGAGCGCAGCGTTTTCCTCATATAACCCATTTTTCTTTACTGAATATTTCCCAAGCGAAAAACCCCAGAACAAAACTTTTTACGCCATTCGATAGCGCTATCCGAGATGCATATTCTAGACTATACAAATCACAAAAAAGAGCACTTTCGATTTTTGGCCAAATGTCCGCCTGTATGCCCACTGTGCGTAATCATTACCTCAGCTCAATACCGACCTTTATTGAGAGAAAATCGTGAGGGGAAATAGTGCCCCTAAGTCAGTATGAAAACATTTATTCACTTCAACGAGATATTTAAATGAAATTGATCGATTGCAGCTGATACAAGTTGGCAATCACCAGTTGTGATGGTAATATAGACCGTAGATAAACAAGGCCAAATTTAAATAAAATTAATTTCCAGAGTCAGGATCTAATAAATCGACTCAGCTGATGACACAACCAGAGATGTGCGCCGCCGCGCCGGTTCGCCGATTCACCGCCGCCGTTGAAGGCG